TTGTAAGGATTTTTATCGTTTCGTGACAATATCTTTTTATCTTTTTATCTAGTAGTTTTTCGTTTTTGCCCCGGATACAAACAGTTTCTAGATCCGCCACTGGTGGGAAGAGCTATATGATTTAGATCAAGCTGAACGGGTGTTTACCAAAAAAGAAAGACAAAGAAAAGGTGATGTTTGTGTTGGGGTCAAAATCGGTTTGACTAAATCAATGACCAAAAATTTCCGCAAAAATAAAAATACGTTTATAAAACATGAGAAGTTGTTTTATAAAATTCTAAGGACTTTCCGAACAAAAGAAATCCGTGCGAAACTTGGAAATTGTCATCTCGGAAAAAGGAACGAAACAATCTCCGATTACACGATTGCCAAAGTTAAGCGAAAAACCGCAAAAATCGCATCCGCCACACTACGAGCAGGTTCGACCGAACCAGTTCGACGTGCGACAAGCCGAACCAGTTCGACGTGCGACAATCCGAACCAGCCGGTTCAGCTCGCTGCAAGATGAACGGGTTCGTCTCGGACCCGCTTGCCGTACGGCGAGATGATCACCTCAAATCAGCTCGCCATACGTCGAGCTGACCGTCACGAGCCTCGCTCTCCCGAATCCTCAACGCAAGGTATACGTCCTTCGATTCGATCGTGCTCTGAATCATGGTCGAAACGTCTCTCGTTTCATCTCGATCCAACTTATCATTCGAGTTTTACGATAAAAAACCGTAAAAGTCTTCTTTTCTTGTAAGATTTCGGGAATATCGTATAAAATGGCAACGATTAGATGGTACATCGTACATTGTCAAACTATACGGTTAACTCGAAAATTCTTATAAAAACGGCATCGTATCAGGAAACGATCTCGTCTAAAATCGTAAAAAGGTTTTTATCGCAAAACGGCTCGGTAAGTCCTAAAACGCGATAAAAAACTATCCATGGTTTTAGACGAATTCCAGTCCAAATATACAATGACGGTTTGACCATTTACTCACAGAAAGAAGATAAATGTCAAGTTTGAAGTTAAATGTCAAGTTTGAAGATAAATAGAAGATTTCTGAAGAAAAATTGAATGATCGAGATAAATGGAAGATTTCCGATAAACTCGAATCTGGAAGAAAAGGAAGGACTAAACTGCCTAAGGAGGGAGTATATAAGCAGAAGGCCAAGGACAGAAGAAAGATGACGATTTTCAGAGCTCTCACCACCAAAACTTAGCACTTAGGAATATTTTTGTTTTTGTTATCGAGCTGCGTCTCAACTAGGATTTAGACTTAGGTTGCTAGAACTGGGAAACTCGCCGTCAGCTCTTGTAGCCAAGGCTTTACCTTGTTGTACAACTCTTACGCATAATCGGAATAAGATCCTTATTGCCTCAATCTCGTTTTTAACATCTTTTACTTATTCACATCGTTTATTTGATTGCTTGTGTGTGGTTCCGCAGATAGTCGGGTCCTTTGAGAAATTAGAGTTTTCCCTAAGTTCCTTAATTTACGGAAATCGACAGGGGTGAATTTTTGTTCCCACAGTTTGCAGAAGCATCATCCTCTAATTCGAGCTTGCAAGGTCCGGAAAAGAGGATTTTGGACTTCATGGGAGAAGAATTTGTTGGACTTAACGTAATGGTGGAGACAAAGCTGGACAATGTTGATTTGAGGCTGAGTGGAATAAAAAAGAATCAGAGACTTTTGAGAAAAAGGGCTGCGAAAATAGGTTAAATTTTATTGAGAGTAGGGTAGGTGAGAAGCAGAATCATGGTGAAGACATGGATTTTCAATAGTGGGATGGTATGAATTATTATTCAAAACGAAGTGAAGGAAAAAGATGATGCTGAGAAAGAGGTTGGGAAAGATAAGGATAACAAAGATAATACTGAGCAAAAGGGTGAGGAAAAAAAAAACAGTGAGACTAATGAGGAAGACAAGGAAAACCAGTGACACTGATGAAGAAGCAGAAATGTGTAAGTTGAATCAAATGAGGGAGATAAATAGAGTAGTGAGTCAGAAACTTTGGAGAAAAATTGAGGAAAGACAAAAGGTTGAAGAGAAATAGGCGGAGGCTGAGATTAATGATGCTCGGGATGAGGCAGTGATCAGTGAGCCACATGAGGATGATGAGAAGGTGGAGGAATCTAAATATGAAGGGAAAGAGGCTGAAATCAGTGGGGATGATGAGAAGGTGGAGGAATCTGAAGCTGAAGGAAAAAAGGCTGAAACCAGTGAGGATGATGAGAAAGTTGAAGAGAAGGTGGAGGAATCTGAAACTGAAAGGAAAGATGACCAAGAAAGAGTTGGGGCAGAGATCAATGAACCTCGGATTGAAGGAAAATATATTGAAGCTTAGATTAATGAAGCTCGGTTGAGACAGGAAACAATGAGCGTCACACTAAAGGAAAAGATATTGAGACAAAGACCAATGAACCTCGGGTTGATGGAAAAGAGATTGAGGTTGAGGGAACTCCCACACCACCACATGGAAATCAATCAAAAGGAACTCCCACACCACCACATGGAAATCAATCAAAAGGAACTCCCACACCACCACGTGGTAGGACTAAGGCAATGGCCGCGAGGATGTTACCACCTGATTTGGCTAAGATGATCAGAAAGAAAAAGCCTGATAATCCACAAAGGTGGATAATGCCACCACGAGTGTAAGCAGAAAAAACTGTGGAATAAGAACCTGAAAGAAGTGTGGAACCAGAGGAAAAAAAACCATGAAAAAGATGCTAGGGAAGAAGAGAAAGAGACCGAGAAAGTTGTTGAGGAACATGCAGTTGTTGGGGAAAATACTGAGGAAGAAAAGCAAAATTGGGTCATAGTCATTTACAAGGCCTGTGAGGAGAAGATGGATAGAACCAATAACGAGAGAACATATGAAACCAAAGAAGCAGCGAGGCGGCCTGGGATCTTACATAGATGCAAGGAGAAGACAGTGATGTATGGCAAACCGAGAAAGGGTATAGCTAAAAACGTCACACCAACTACTGGTGCACCTAAGAGGGGCAGACCAAGGAAGAGTGTTGCTGATGCTACACCTAAGAGGAGGGGAAGACCTAAGAGGAAGTGTGAACCATCACAGTGGGTGAAAATTTTTTTCAAGACAGGGAAGAAGCGTAAAACAAAGGCTTAAGCTTAGAAAAAGCTTATGTATTTAAGATGTTAATTTAAGTATTTTAGATGTTTGAAACTAGTTGGAGAATTCTTTGCTTTTGGATGTTTAAAACTTGGTAGAATAATGTTTTGGGATGTTTAAAACTTTGTCTGTTGCAGTAGACAGGTTTGGAAAACTGAATTTAGAGGTGTTACTATACCCAAAAATGAATTACTGGAATAACTGGAATTAAAAAATGCACGAAGAGAAGCAATATTTAAAGTAAAAACTCTCTCAGGCACGTTTCCCTAGGCGCTGAAACTTTTTCCTGCTTTCCCTACCCGCGGTTTTCTATCTCTGGTTTATTTCCCTTTTCATGTCTTAAGGAAAAGCTGACGCGGGTCTGACAGTCCTCACCTACCTGGTTTATTTCCATTTACAGTAATTTTTTGAAATCTCAAAACCACTAGTTTCTCTTCCGGCCACGCCTCCGCCTCTGGCGGAAGGAAGCTTTACTCTGTGATGAGTTTGGAGATGATGCGAGGAAAGTTTTTCTACCCTGAGACTTTCCTAGTTCTGGCTACCTCGTTTTAAGCAGGAACACAACGTCTAAAGTCGACAGAACTCCTTTAGACTCACAAAACGCTTCAGGAGGCCCTTACGACACTTCAAATAAGAAAGGAAGTCACACAAAGTTTTTGGAAAGGAGCTCACAGAAAATGACGAGAAGATTAACAGCTGCAGAGAAAGGCAAAGCTATTGTGGAAAACGCCAGAGAACCCCCTAGGATAAGAATAAGAGCTCCAGATTTTGACCCTGCAGAGTTAATCAAGGAGAACTCGCTTACCCTGATAGGTCGGCTCACAAACCCCAGAGAACAGAAGATGAACTTGGTCATGGAGTATCTGCCTAAAAAATGGAACCTGGGGGGCTACATAACGGGTTCCGAGTTAGGGAACCACTGCTTCCAATTCCGTTTCAACAGAGAGGAAGACTTAAAGGCTGTACTAAGCAACAGACCATACCAGTTTGGGCGTTGGATGATTATAGTCCAAAGATGGGAACCAATTATCTCTGAAAACTTTCCCTGCAAAATTCCTTTTTGGATAACGTTTCGAGGGCTCCCACTCCACTTCTGGCATGAGAAGGTTGTTCGCAATATGGGGATTGAACTTGGGGGTTTAGAAGAGTATGAGGTGACTAGAACCTCAGCAAGAATCAGGCTGATGATGGATGGATTAAAACCGTTAATCATGGAAACGATAATGGAGTTTGCAACAGGGGAAGAAAGCATCATTAAGCTTGAGTACGACAATCTGGGGAACCATTGTAGGTACTGCTACAGGTTATCCCATTTGCAGGCGCAGTGCCCCTACCGTAAAGAGGCCACAGAAGAAACAGGCGCGTCCGACAATCGCATGTTCAAAGACTCGGCTGTAGCTGGTCAGTTAAACCAGTTCACCAAGAAGGACTCGGTATCTACAATGAACGAATCTCTAGAAAGGGAACAACAGTACAAGCAACGTCTGGACAGACATGGAAGGCCCTATGGAGAGAGGGTCTCAAACTCAAACGCTCATGCCTCAGGGCCAAAGAATAAAATCTTCCCGGCTGTAGATGATAGAAGTTATCCTTATCATCGAGATACTAGACGAGGCAATGAAGATACAAGGAATTATGAGAAGCGCCCGGTCGGAGATAACTACAGAAGAGGTTATGCAGGGGAACATCGTCGAACCGTTGATGGAAACAAACAAACCAGCAAGCAGTGGAAGGAAAAGGCTCCAGTGAACGATCAAGTAAATGATCAAGCATCCATAGCTTCACCTCAACGGCCAGTCCCCGGCACACCAACACACTCAATAATCAGGAATCTGGCAGCTCAGGAGTTCCAGCATGTTCAACCAATCCAATCTATGGAAGAAGTCTTGGAAGACCTAAATGCGGCTACACTCCGATACATGAATCACCCTGATCCAACAGAAAGTGCAGCAAGGAAACAACGTGTCCTCTTAAGCGAAATGGATGGCACGGTGGAGGAAACTGCTGCTGGTATTTTTCAAGCAAATGCTCTTGCAGCAGATCGGGCAGCACAAGCTCTGGAAACAAATACAGTACAGAGAATGGAGAATCAGGTTGAGTCGCCACCTGAGGTTACTTTACCCGTGATCTCGCTTGCAGTGGCGGGTAAGAAGAGAGGACGTCCTCCTAAGAATAATGATAAAGGTCTACCTAAACCCCCATTGGCGCCAGGGACACACAAGAACAGTCCCATAAATGTGTTCGGGTCAGCTTCTAAACGACTTAATCTAGCAAGGACTCACTCGCCAACGCAGTCAGGACCTTCTAAAGGAGCACCTAAGAGGCGGGTTTCAAATGTTAGAACAACATCGAACCCTCCTATCGTACTAATACCGGCTAGTAGAAGACAGCAGAAGGATTTTCCCCTGCGTCGGCCCGATCTTCCTTAGCGATACTGACTTCGAACTGTCGCGGTTTGGGGAATCCCGCAACAGTTCAACGAATCAAGGAGCTTAACCAACAAGCTTCTCCTGATATAATATTCCTCATGGAGACAAAAAACCAGGATGCGTTCGTTATCCGAGAGCTGGAATGTCTAAGTCTGTATCATAGATGTTTAGTACCTCCTGAGCGTCCAGGAAGTGGAGGTCTTGCTCTGTTCTGGAAGCAGGACATTAACCTTCAGGTTATCTCTTCGGACAGAAACATTATAGATACCTCGGTAACTCATAAAGGGGAAATGTTCTCTGCCTCCTTTATCTATGGCGAACCTGAAACTCAAAACAGATACCGCGTTTGGGACAAACTCATTAACTTGGCGCAGACAAGAAGCTCGGCTTGGTTCCTTGCTGGAGATCTAAATGAGATAATAGATAACAGTGAAAAATCTGGAGGGAAACCAAGAGCGGAAAGCTCCTTCAGCGCTTTCAGGAATATGCTCTCCTGCTGCGATTTGTTTGATTTAAAACACTCTGGCAACAGTTTGTCTTGGAGGGGCAAAAGAAAAAACGGACTTGTTTATTGCAGGTTAGATCGAGCGTTGGTTAATCCGGCATGGTCAGATAAATTTCCGACAGGAAGAAGCCAGTATCTTAGCTTTGATGCTAGCTCAGACCATAGACCACTGATGTCGTTTTTTGATGCTGGCAAGCGGAAAAAGAATCGTCTGTTTCGATATGATAGAAGACTCAAGGATAATGCAGAGGTGAAAGAGCTAATTGCCACAAACTGGAACGCTGAAACTAACTCACCGGTGGAGGCAAGGCTGGCTAGATGCCGAAAAGCAATTTCGATTTGGAGCAGGGAGCAATATTTAAACAGCAAGGAAAGAATCACAACACTGAAAAGGAATCTCGACATTGCCATGACAGACTCAAATGGTAGTGAGGCTTTAATTGCGTCTCTGAACCAACAGATTTTTACAGCATACCGTATGGAGGAGGAATTCTGGCGGCAGAGAAGCAGAATTATGTGGCTGGCTTCCGGGGATAGGAACTCGGGTTATTTTCATGCGGTGGCCAAAGGAAGAAGAGCCCGGAACAGATTAACAGTAATTGAAGATGCAGAGGGCAAGGAATATTATGAGGAGGAGCAAATAGGGGCGCAAATATCTGCTTACTTCGCCACAATCTACACTTCGCTGGGAAATTCTTCTACCGATATAGAGACTTGGAATACAGTAGCAGCAGCCATCACACCATCCATATCCGAGGAGACTAATGATCGCTTAGTGAGCATACCAGAGGAAGAAGAGATCCGCATAGCTCTTTTCAATATACATCCCGACAAAGCTCCGGGACCAGACGGGTTCTCAGCATGCTTCTTCCAGTCCAACTGGAGTGTTGTCAAAACAGCTTTCATCTCGGAGATCCAGAGATTTTTCAGTTCAGGAGAGATGACCGCAGAAACAAACCGGACTTATGTTAGACTCATACCGAAAATCACTGGAGCTAAACTTGTATCGGACTACCGTCCTATCGCTCTGTGTAATGTGCTTTATAAGACAATAACAAAGATCATCTCCTTCAGGCTTAAACCTATTCTTGGTGATATTATTTCAGAGACACAGTCCGCCTTCGTCCCCGGAAGATCAATTGCAGACAATGTCCTTATTACTCATGAAGTTCTCCATACTTTGAAGATCTCTGAGGCTAAGAAAAATTGTACTATGGCTGTTAAGACGGATATGAGCAAAGCCTATGACAGGCTTGAATGGAAGTTTATCAGAATGGTACTGGAGCGCTATGGCTTCTGCACGAGGGTGATCGAGTGGATACTACAGTGTGTATCCTCTGTCTCCTTCTCCTTCCTCGTCAACGACTCGGTTTTCGGGAAAGTTGTACCATCACGGGGGATACGACAAGGTGACCCGCTGTCCCCGTACATCTTCATTATCTGCGGAGAAGTGCTGTCTGGGTTATGCCGACAGGCTCAGAGAAGCGGCCATATGTCAGGGATACAAATGGGTACTGCAGCACCAAGGATCAATCATTTATTGTTTGCGGACGATACCATGTTTTTCCTCAACACAAACCCTGCCAGCTGTACGGCGCTCAAAAGCATTCTTAGTCGTTATGAGCAAGCTTCCGGCCAGATGATTAACACCAACAAATCCTCCATCTCCTTTTCAGCTAAGACCCCGCAGGAGACACGTTTACGTGTCAAAAATTTCCTCGGGATTGCTCAAGAAGGAGGGGTGGGGAAATATTTGGGACTCCCGGAACATTTTGGACGACGCAAAAGAGATTTATTCACCGGGATAGTTGATAGGATCAGCAGGAAAGCAGTCTCATGGGCATCAAGACATCTCTCTAGTGCCGGCAAGCTTGTTATGTTGAAATCAGTTCTAACCGCAGTCCCTTCGTATGCCATGACTTGCTTCCTTTTGCCCGTCAGTTTATGCAAAAGGATCCAATCCGTATTTACTAGATTCTGGTGGGACTCCTCTCCGGAAAAAAAGAGTATGTGTTGGGTATCATGGGATGATCTCACCCAACCCAAGGCGTTGGGGGGGCTGGGGATAAGAGACATTCAAGCCTTTAATGTGGCTCTTCTTGCAAAACAGGCGTGGCGCATAGTGACTAAACCCGAGGGCCTCTTTGCCCGGGTGATGATTGGGAAATATTGTCGAGCTGTGCCATTTCTACAGGTTTCTCCCGCGAAGACATCATCACATGGGTGGAAGGGTATTCTTGAGGGGCGAAATCTGCTTATTACACACTTGGGAAAAGCCATTGGCAATGGGGAAGAGACACGGTTATGGAAGGACCCCTGGATTAGCACTTGTCTGCCAACTACTCCGTTTGGTCCAGCAAAGGAGGAAGATCAGGATCTTGTTGTGGCCGACCTCCTGTGTAGAGGGAGCAATGAATGGAATATACAAAGGATCAACTGTATTCTGCCACATCTCAGCGAAGAGATTCTGAAGATCAAACCAAGTTTGTTTAGAGCCGATGATGCTTATGTTTGGTTAGCCTCAAAGAATGGAGTGTACTCAGCAAAATCGGGATATTATATTGCAGCATCCAATAAACACGGAGGCGCAGAGGTCCAGGAACTAGAAAAAGAAGGAGCCAAAGCTATTTGGAATTGCTGTACTTCCCCAAAGATCCAGCTCTTTGTTTGGAAAGTGACTCATGGAGCTGTTGCACTTGGAGAAAACCTGGTGGCAAGGGGACTCCTTGGCGCCTCTGCTTGTGTGTTTTGTGGTGAAAGTGAGACTGCGGAACATGTTTTCTTACATTGTGCTATGTCTCGGCGCATTTGGGGATCTGATTTATGGAAGCAGGGCTTTGATCCTTCAAACTTCACCAATTTTGTTGAAGCCTTCAAAGCCTCGGAACAGCTTACTTGTCTTCCACCACTAGGAGTTTCACATTCTTTATTTCCTTGGATATGTTGGAACATTTGGGTAGCCAGGAACAAGGTGATCTTTGAAAATAAAACATCTACAGATATGGAAATCGTTTCCAAATCAATTACAATGGCGAGAGAATGGTTTCAAGCACAGCCACAGAAACCAGGGAGGACCGACTCGGGTTACAGGGCGATTTCCCTTCCACCATCAGGGGGTTTCGATGCCATCTTCTTTACAGATGCAGCGTGGCGACCAGACACCTTCACGGCAGGAACTGGATGGGTTGTCTTGGGAACAGACAACTCTATTATGTTTCAGGGATCCAGGAGCGAAACATCTGTTTCTTCTCCGCTTATGGCTGAGGCACTGGCCATGCGGACGACTCTACTACATGCGAAAGCTGTAGGTCACTCTCGAATCTGTATCAATTCAGATTGTCAAGCACTTCTAGCTGCTATCTCCTCGAGACTCCAACCGGCGGATATCTACGGAATCATCCGGGACATCGAGACGTTATCTTCTTATTTCAGTATTGTTATCTTTAAGTTTATTCCTCGTGCTCAGAACTCCTTTGCCGATAGTTTAGCAAAATCGGCCTTGTACCACTGCAACTCAGCCCCCATAGCTTAGTTTAGCTCATGGGGTTTCTTTATATTTCAATTTGGTGTTCAAAAAAAAAAAAAAGAATAACTGGAATTACTGGGTTTATTATTATGTCTAAAAATCAAGTGCTATGAAAAACTAAAATATTATAGGAAAAATGAAAAACACATGTAAAACACCTAAATATATATAAAATGAATGAAAAAAATGAATTTCACATGTTTCCCATGTAAAACGTGTAGCCGTCTTATATAGATTTAGTAATATATTTAACACTTAATAATACACCTAATAATCTTCAAGGTTGTAGTAATACTACTATACACATAGTAATATTTTGACAACTTTTATGTTTATCTAGTTAAACTATCACAATTGAAAGCTTTGTAGGGAAACCAATGATTTTACTGAATCTTGTTAAAAAACACATTTACAAAACAATTTACCAGGAATACGTATTTTGAAAGATTCTCCTTACTATACTAGAACCATTCACACACTAACATAAAAAGTTAAGGATGTTTTTTGGGAAACTGATAAGTTTTTCTTAAGATATTGAAAATAATTATCAAATATTATAAATGTATATATTTATCGTAGACATAGTGTACGAATTGAAATCATAAAAATAGTCTAAATTTACATCATAAAGAATTTAAAACTCAGTAGTCCAAATTGCATATAATAATACCAGTAAAACCCAGTAGTCCAATTTGCACATAATAATACCAATAAACCCTAGTAATCCAAAATGCACATAATAATACCAATAAAATCTAGTAGTCCAAATTGTATATAAAAATTCCAGTAATCTCCAGTAGTTCAGATTACACATAATAAAACAATCCTAGGTAGTACTGAACCACTTC